TTAGACGTACAGGTGGGTAATTCCCAGTTTGTCACAGTCAGACAAGTCCTCAAAGGTGTGCCAGTCACCTTTGATGCCAAAAGGGAAGTCAGACAGTCTAAACATCTATGTTTTCCCACACCTCCCCTTTGATATGGTTCTGGGCCTCAAGTGGTTAAGGGCTACTAATCCTTGCATTGACTGGAATGAGCCGAGTATTCGGTTGAAGACTGAAAAGGGTGAGCTTAAACCATGTGTCTTGGCAACATACTATCCCACTAAGACAAGTTGCTATTGCCTGAAGGCGCCACCTGCTCTCGTACGGCGGGTATATATCTGGCTTTACAGTCGGTACCCCCTGTAGCACCCATACCCACCGGGGAGTGTCAAGATTGTCGTCAAACATCCATCGCCGGTATTGGGCCAAGTTAATGAACCATACTCTTGGCTTGTTATCAGATTCCACCGACATTGATTGTCGCTGTTGGATTGGCTTGCCCCCTGCTCCGGACTGTGGGCAGTTCATGCCCAGGTGTCCTCTCTCACGACATTTGAAACAAGAGGGATTAGTCTTGGTTGAAACATAGATTGTGATCCTCTATCCGTTCTTGCGAAAAATCCATAACCTCCGGAAATTTCGGGGGAGCCCCCGACTGCACCTCCAAGCAGGCCACTCTCGAGTCGTGGTTCGGCACCAAAAAATCAGGATTAGTCGGCAGCCAGTCGATTATGGGGTTATTAGGGTACTCCTCCGATAGGCGCTTTTGCACGAAACTGTGCATACCCTTTGAGAGGTTGTCGAACTAGACCCAAAAATTGTCCCTCATCATTGTTTGCCTGTGACGGGAGGCCTTGGCTTGGAGCGGTCTTGGAGGTTTCCATGCTTGAATGGTGACTACCGAGCCGTGGCACTTCAATGACCCCAACGACAATAAGAATTGGACGTAAGTTGGATCTATGCAGACAATCGTCACAATGAACTTGCCCCTCTTGTGACAGGAGACCTCAGGTTCAATACCCGGTACATTCTCCAATCCGCTGAGTCGTTCCATAACCCATCTCGGTTCTTCCCCGAGAAGTTGAACAGTACCGCGTGACGCTCGTACAGCTCATTCAGCGAAGGTATGTCCTGTTCCGGGTTGTCCCAGACGTCCACCAGTTCCTCCTTGCCCTCATGCCCCTTCAATGTTTCCTTTGTGATCTTGATGGGTGTCATTTTAGTTTTCTCCATTAGAAATTCAATGGCCTTTTGACCCAGTGCCTTCGGTTGCGTGCATGTGATTCCGATCTGAGATGCTTCCTGCGTTGTCGCTTTCCCTTGCTGACTTTGGAATTCCCGTTCACTCCTCTCCCTATCCTCCGTAGACATTGCCTTTTGAGCCACCGCCACGTACGATTGCGCCATAATGAATCTATATCAACCCTTGTGCTCCCCTCCCTCTTGTGTTCTCTTCTCCCCTTTTTTTTTTTTTTTTTTTTTTTTTTTAACCCTTTGGGCACTCCCTCCTATTTGACCTTAGTAGAATTATATATTTATTTTTGTTTTTATGCTGGTTTGCATCCCTTTTCTCTTTCTGCTGCGAAAAACAAAAAGGTTAATTAATTAGAAAGCAAATGTTGTCTCCACTTACTAAGATTGATATAATCTTGCTTCATCTGCTGTTCCCCGGGGTTAATTCTCCTCACTTTCGTTACTTTTCCCCATGCCTATCCCTTCTTTCGATTCTCCCTTCGCTATACTTGTACCTAGTTTGACCCAAATTTTTTCTACCTCTCCACCCCTTCTACCTCCCCTACCCACTTAGCTCTTTGACGTACCTTTCACGATTGCCCTCTAGATTGAGCTCACACCTTCCTCGCTCCTTAAAGCTTCCCTTCTCTATGGTAATATTAGGGACGAACCCTAGGGTAAGTGAGGGTTGCCTTCACTCCTACCTTCCTGGAGCACCTCTCCCTTCTGACTGCAGCTTACCCCTCTATGTGCCTGATCGCCCGTTGCTGAAATCACCGGGTGCAAGTTTGCTTCCTGTGTTGTCGCCTTCGTTGCCAACTTGCAGACTTCGCTTCTCTTCCCCCTTCTATTCCTCATGTGTGTCCGGTGCCAGTGTCGTGAAGGATGATTCCCTGCGCGATGGCAGTGCACACAGTCTCTCTTCAGCCCTTGCGTGATGGTAGGATGCTGACCCCCGGTGGCTTGCATGACGGCGGGGTGTGGATGTACTCTACGACACGATCCCCCCTCAGCACGGTGATGGTGGTCTCGGTCATGTTACACGATGGTGGGGTGCGGACCCACATAGCGACGCGGTCGGGATGTGGACCCTCGTGACGGCGTGGTCTCCCCTCGGCACGATGATGGTGGTGTTGCGGTCAACGTTGCGACGATCCTTGGCGCAGGTAGTGCGCTAACCCCATTTCATTGACTCTTTTGATTTTGAGCTGAAGAACAAAGAGGGATGTTATAACAAGAGTGGTTGATGAAGTTTCTCGTAGGCCTGACACATTTGCTGCCATTGCACATACATACTCATTTGGAGACTCCACTCACCAGGCCATCGTTGATGCATTTTATCAGGACCCTGTCTTCAGGCCCGTCATTAGGAATCTACAAACGGATCCTGATTCCGATTCAGGGTATGCCTTGAGTTCAGGCCTCCTGGACACAATCAGTGAGGGGGAGGAACATTTGTGCATCCCTTCCGATCGCAAGGTCATAATTGATCTCATTAAAGAGAGACCATCTTGGGTTCTTGAAGATTTATGCTGCCCTGACCCAATACTTCTACTGGATTAAAGTGGAGGAGGATATCCTCCATTACTTAGAGACCTGCGAGATGTGCTAGTGGAACAAGGTCCACAGGCGACTTCCTATGGGACTGCTCAAACCTTTACCTATCCCTGAAGGCTCAGGTGAGACTGCGTCTGTTGATTATACTGATTTCGGCGAAGACCACCCCTTGAGGGATGATGCAGGTAATGGTCTGTGTGGACAGCTTCTGTAAGTATGACTAGTTTATCCCATTGCCTGCTGAGGCAAGAGTACCTCTAGTCAGAGGTATTCTCCGAGAGGTGGGTGAGTGTCCATGGGCACTCAACTTCTATTGTTAGTGACAGAGACCCACACTTTTGCAGCGATGAGTGGCGATCCTACTGTCAGGACTATCTCCACTCTAGATTTGACATGACTTCTGGCAATCATCTTGAAGTCAATGGACAGGCTGAAGTGATGAACCAGATCTTATTTCAGTTGTTGCAGCCTGTGATCACACCTGATCAACAGGATTGGGACAAGCATCTGTCCAGGGTGCAACTGGTGTATAACACATTTGTTCACAGTACTACTGGTTTCACGCCCTATAGACTCCACTGGGGTAGAGACCCTAGACAGCCTCTCGATAGTATTATTGATAAGGCTAAGCCCAAATTGACAGCTGGCACTGCTGAGTTTGCCAATAGCTATGAGAAGGACTTAGAGAAGGCTAGGCCTAACATGTTCAAGGCACAAAAGCGGATGATTGAACAAGCAAATAAACATCGAATGCCTTCTCCAATTCATCCTGGGCATCGGGTCTGCATAAAGAGATCTGAGTTGAGAAGCAAGCATTTCTAAAAAGTTGCTGCCTGTGTTATGGCCCATGGCACGTTCTGGATACAACAGGTGCTGACTCATTCGGTCACTCCTGTGTGCTAGCATTGCCTGCACATGTCAAGACCCATCCAGTATTCCATGCATCTAAGTTGTTGTCTTTCACTCCATCTGATGCATTTCCAGACAGGTCTCCTCAGGTTCACCCTCCCATTCCAGGAAAGGGTCATGAAATTGAGAGCATTGAGGATCAATGGGGTACAGGTCCTAACTGTGAGTATCTTGTGAAGTTCTATTTCCAACCACATACTGAAGATCGGTGGCTCATGAGACTGAACAGAAAGGACAACCGCTCAGACAGTCAAACATTGACACTCCTAGCTCGGCGTCCTCGCTCCCCGGGAGGGTGGGAATGCAATGACCTTGCAGTTTCTCCTAGCGAGCTGTACACTAACAGGGTCTGTTTTATAATTTTTGTACTTGTGGGTTCCTACAGCTAACCGTGAAAGGCCTAAATCCCCATGCCGAGGCCGTACTGGCGGTCCCTTGGTCCTGTAGGCCTTGCCTCTTCATGGTGTCGTAGGTCTAGGCCCTAGGTCATCAGGCAGGGATAGGTTGGGGGGAAATTGATGAGGATTATTTTTGAGTTGTTTTGTTTCGTCTGTTGGGGGAAGTCACGTGGAAGAGCTGGGCTATTTTGAGCATCGCAGCCTCTTCTTCACCGGTAGGGCTGGCAGCCATAGCTGGAGGCCATTCTTGCTTCTAGGGAGCAGCGCCGGAGCTGGGCTCCAAGCACTGCAGGAGACTTGCCTGTGCAGTGGTGTAGGGTTGGGACGCTGCCATCATTTTACCTGGCAGCCAGGAGGAACCTCATCTTCTTCGAAGCGGCTGGCAGCTCTTCTTCGTCGTCAGAAAACATGAGCGCTGCACTTCAGTGCTGGACAGGTGCTACTCTCTTGGGGTGCTGGTTCAGATATTGCTCCGGAGTGATGATGTCGAGTGTTGGTTGGTACGGCGGCCATACCCAGGGTTATGAGGTGGTGGGGAAGAAGAAGACTCCACGTAGTTGAACTTTTGTTTTGAGTTGCTCGGGGTTGTCGAAGCGCGGTTGTGATTCTTCGATTTTTGGTGCTGTTGATTGATTTGGGGAGAGAGAATAATAATCAGAATTGAATTTCATTCCATTCTATTTTGGGATTTGAGCTTCTGCTGTGCATATCTTATCATTGGTGTGGTACGGAGTGTCTCTCTCTAAGTGCGCTCTCCAATTGAATGTGTGTATGGGAGCGTGTGAGTTGGGTATTGATTGCTTCTCAATCGGGCACATAACAGGGTAGTGGTTTAATGCTGTGGATTTTAATGCTATGATCTTGGGATGTTAATGCTGCGTTTTACTGTTGGAACTTACACAAGTGCCCCTGGCTGTGTACTTCAGGGAGAAAATTTTTTCGAGGATATCACTGGAGATGCTCTCCCGAGGTCGTGTGCTGGCTTCTTCTCTGGCTAGAAAGGAATGGAAGGCACCATCGAGAACATTCATTACTTTCCAGAAGGTGAAATAATGACAAAACACTTCTGCCTGAGGGTGCATTAAACTGGAGATGCCGACTACACAGTGCTCTTCTGTTTGCACAACTTTGCAGCTTATTTTTTTCAACAGGCGATTGTTGGCCTGGAATCCTGGATACATATCCATTCTGGGGACCATCAGTCCGGTCCCTTTTCCACCGGCAAGTCGACATATTTGCAATTTTACAACAAATACACGTTGATGCTTCCTCCGTCTTGCGAAAGGACCCCTGATCAGCAGTCTTGAAATTTCTTGTCTTGTAGTGCTCTGTTGAACTGCTTCCTATGCCTTCTTTGATGTCCAGGACAACACACAGCAATAGCCGCCCTGCATCAGTCCCTCTTGTCCTGTGACCCCCTCTTTGTCGGTCTTCCTGTCCCCTTGTCTCTTAGCTCGACTCCTCCCATTTCAGCTTAATCATGATTCTATTGCTGTCTTGGCCAGCCTGTTACATGAAGAAGTTGCATCCCATCTTGTTTCTTTTTTTTTTGTTTTTTTTGTTAATTACATGTCAATGAAATGGGCTCTGCCCAACATGAGAAACCAGACAACGTACGCATCCCATTACATGAAGAAGTTGCATCCAATCTTGTTCCTTTTTTTTTTTTTTTGCCTAGTACATGTCAGTGAAATGGGCTCTGCTCAACATCAGAAACCAGACAATGTACACATCCCATTACATGAAGAAGTTGCATCTGATCTTGTTTTTTTTTTTTTTTTTTTTTTTTTTAACCTGTCAATGAAATGGACTCTGCTCAACATCAGGATTAGACTAAAGTACTTTCCGGGAGAACGCTGAAAGAAACCTGACAATGTACAGGATGAGACTTGAGTACTTCTGGGATAGCGCTGAACGAGCCAGACAATGTACACATTCCACTCATACTTGCAACCGCACGAGCCGCACATTCGTGCGGAGTTCCGTGCGGAGTTCCATGTGGGGGGTGCCTGTGCGGAATCGTGAAGGTTTAATTATTATTTTTCTTTTTTTGGGAGGGGGAACGGGGGGGGGTATGACAGGAAGATGGAGATATGGCGAGGAGAGGGGGATATGGAGAGGAGAAGGAGGATGTGGACAAGGAGGACGACGAGGATAGAGAGGACGACGAGGAGTCAAGATGGGGGAGGAGAAGAGATGGATGGAGGGAAAAGAGGAAGGGCAGGAGGAGGAGGACGAGTGGGAGGAGGAGGAGACATGGACGGCGAGGAAGGGGAGGACACGAGGAAGGGAAGGAGACGAGGAGGCATGGAAGATGAGGAAGTACGAGGAGGAGGAGGAGACAAGGAGGATGAGGAAGGGCAGGAGGAGGAGGACGAACAGGAGGAGGAGGAGGAGGAGGAGGAGGAGGAGGAGGAGGAGATAAAAAGGAGAAGGGAGGAGGAGACATGGAGTATGAGGAAGGGGAGGAGGAGCATGGTGAGGCAGTACTCCTGTAATTTTTTTTTTTCCCATCTCGCTTATAATTTTGGCGGGGGGCCTCAAACGCACCATTTCGACGCCGACCTTTTTTTTTTTATTTCTGAGGGGGGTGACGGGTCGTTCTCCGCACACGTCGTCGTCGCACGGGATCGGTTGGGCGTGTGCGCCGCACGTAGGGAGCCGCCCGCACGGTGTGCGCTTGCATGTATAATTCCACTACATGAAGCAGTTGCATCCGATCTTTTATTATTATTATTATTATTATTATTATTATTATTATTATTATTATTTAATGTGTCAATGAAATGGGCTCTGCTCAACATCAGGATGAGACTAGGTACTTTCCGGGAGAACGCTTAAAGAAACCTGACAATGTAGAACCTCAGCACTTTATTGGGGGGCGCTAAGAGACCCTCGATCCCTTCTTCTAGAGCACTGAAAGACCCGTGGATATACTCATGATGACATCAGTTGCTGGATCACTCACTGCTCAGCCTGTAATGAACCCAGTTTGGCAGATACTCATCAGTCGTCAAACACCAGTAGTCTCGGTATCTGCAGCATAGTCTCCAATTATCGTGAAAAGATATCTGAAACAGTATCTCATTACCATTAGACGAAGAGAGTGGAGGGGGATCGACAGAGGAGAAGGTGGAAGAGATGATAAAAGATCACACGAGTAATCCCGTTGTCGAGCGCATCGGCCCTCGCGTGAACGAGGGCCCTCCCGACCATGTCACGCAGGAGATAAACAAACAAAAATCATTAAGAGACAACTTGGGAACGACGCATAAATAATCCCGCGAGCCGCCGAAACGGCGCGCGGTTGCATCGTCCATCGCCGCTCTGGCCGTGTGCCAGCAATACATCCCGCGGTCCCCTACGACAGGATAGGTTCCTGCGGGGCATAAGCTACCTTCCCTGAGGGGCTGTCACCACCCTTAGGGGTGTATCCCTACCGAGCTACCGACCCACGTGCGAAAGCTTTTAGATGTAATTGCAGAGGTAGGTCAGCCGAGGGCGTTTGCTCGTTTGCCGTAGTATAGATACGTTGGTTAACGCCAAGTGGACCCGAACGTCGTTCATTCCTTAGGGCGCTGATCTCCTAAGTACAAAGCGGACGTCCGTCGACTAGGACGGTCTCAACCAAGCGTGAAACCACAAAATTAATCCTAGTCCCTTAGACACACAATCAAAAGAAAGTTATAACAAACACACATAACTCCACAAAAAAAAAGTCGACCGTAGTCGACAGGAACATACCCAATCTGAAATGATGACTGAAAGAATCAGAATCATCATATAGTACCCAATCTGAAATGATGACTGAAAGAATCAGAATCATCATATAGTACATCCAACAACATGATATCAAACACAATCCGGCCACCCCGGGTCGAATTCCACAAAAACAATCATACAACTCTGACGCAGCCGACCAGGTAGTCGGACTGCCTTAGTTTTGACCTGATGCGACGTGTTGCCAGAGTTATTCATTCCAACGAACGCCGACCTATGATTAAACATGCGTACGCCTATCTACACTCTCAATCTTTCTGGATGACAGGTTGCTTCGCGGATGATTCTTGATCAGGGGCATTGCTTGACGTGTTGCATGCCTCTTCCTCTAGGAAGTGGTCTGTGGATACTCCTTCCCCTCGCCTGAGTCCGAAGACTCAAATCTCAGAGGTTGGGCCATCACCACCGAGTCGGCAAAGTACCACCCCCGACAAGTCGGGTCCACTCCAAGTCGATAACGGGGCCGGCTCCGAAAGCATACGAACCACCGCCTTGGATGCTTCCTAGAGAAAAGAGAATGCGTTCACCGCAAGTAGTTTTCAATTATTCTCACCCCTTCTCGGTTCATAGTAACTTAGACGTAAAGAAATTGAAAGAGATAGAGAATGAGAATTACTTTGACAGGTATGGATATAGAAAGAGTCCAAATAAAATGTGTCAATCCTGGGAAAATGCTAAGTCCAATTGACTGCACTTTCATTTTATTCAGAAGTTTTCTTTCATGGCACCCGTTGGAATTACTCATTTCATAATTCAAGTATTTTTGTCATGCAGGCAGGTGAAAGATAGAAGCATGACAATCCTTTTTTTTCCATCCCAAATAGGCAAAGTCAATCTCCATAGCAAGCATTCTCCTACCTACCTGCACAACATGCAAAGAAAACAAGTTCGAAAGAAAACAGCACAATCCCATACTCAAGTCGGACTTTTCCGTTCACACGCATGATTCGCACAACTTTCCTCTGCCTTTTCTTTCGAACATTCAGAACAACAAGGTCAAGCAAAGTGCGGTTTCACACAGGTGTGATGGGAAATCTGAGTCATTCAACTGACCTTGAGTGAAGTTTGATCCGGCTCACTCAAAAAGCCGAGTAGTATTCCAGTCAAAGTTGAGAAGGCAATTGTCGTTAATGCTAGAAATATGCAGCTCACAACTCCACAACTCGTGGTCGTTCCACTGCATGACGGCCACCTTACTCTCCAAGTGTTAAAATGAGCGAAAGTCGCCCCCACTGAAAGACTGGAGTGAGATAACCCTCCAGGAGGGTGTTCCCAACAATGAGTCCCATGTGGTCCCAACAGTCCCAACTGTACTTCCCTTACCAAGAATATTCTCAACCAATCGCAAGTCCATGCCTTCTCCAAGTACCACGTACGCTCGCAATAGCCACCACAATATGTTGGTTCTGATATCAAAATCAGTCCCACCTGGTCCCAAAATGGTCCCAGATGATCCTACGTCACTGTTGTACCACCGGATGGTCCCACTCTCAAATCCCGCTTGCGCTGCTCGCCGCCAAAAATAATAAAGGTGGCCGTGGTTGAAACTGCATGTGCCGCGAGCTCCCAAAAAAATAAAGGTGTCCTTCCGGCGCAAACTGCAAATCACAGCTCAAATAACCACTGTCGCGAGCACTCACTCTGTGCCCTCTTCATGTCACCGGCCCACGCACCGCTACCACATGGTCCCAACTACACACCAGCATCAGCCCAACCTCTAGGCTACACTGAAATTCACCTTAACACTCGTGCACCACAAAAAAATATACGGACCACTGCTTGCTGCGCCGCCAACCCGGTACCATGGCTGCCCCGCAACACCAGCGTCAGATCACACACATCAATCAAAAATGGCTCCACCTTGTTACAAAGATCCGGCAGCCCTGCCGCTGTTGTCGTGCCTCCAAATGGACAGTACTTCCCCCTGACAACATTGCTGCCGCTATGCCAATCCCCAACGGCAGCACTTCCTCACCACTGTCGTTAAAATCATTACCGCCGCCGCAAAAATCCGGCAGCGCTTCCGCGCCACCGCCGTTAGAACTTGTGCAGCCGCCTCACAATTTCGGCAGTGCTCCCGCAGCACTGGCAAAAATACATTGCCGCCTTGCAAGACGGCCAGAGCCTCCCCTGCACCACTTGTCGAAGACCTGCCGTCGCCGTGCCAAACGGGCAGAGCCTCCCCTGCACCGCAGCAAAAACAGCTGCCGCAGCCGCGCAGTGCAGGCAACACCTTCCCTGCACTTCATCGAATGAAGTGGCGGCTATGGCAGCCTCCCTCTTTCCTCATCCAGCAATGCCCCTCTTCAACCTGCAGACCTCCACTCTCCACCTCAGCACCTCCACCGGCAACACCACCCTTCTCTAGCAACATGCAGCAGCCAGCCAGCATTCACTCAAGTGAATGCCCCAGCAGCACTGGCACAAGTGTGATGCTGCTGGGTGGAGTGCTGGCTTTTATAGCCAGCAGATGGCTGTGGGCAGCTGCTTTGCCCACAGCCAAGCAAAATTCGTCAGTGCTCCTGGCCCTTGATCGAAATCAATGGCCAGGAGCCATGTGCCCTGGTTTTCCCCTAGGGGAACCAGGGTCTTTAATCCCCAGAAGTATGTGGCCGCTTCCCTGGGCCAGATGCTTCTGGAAATGGCTGTATGCAGCCATTTACTGCAGCCTGTCCAAACCGAACAGGCGCAGTCCCATCAACCCCTAGAAGCTTCTAGGGGCTGCACCTGTTCTACGACCGTGGCCACGTACGTGGCCGTTACTTTTTTTTCTCCCCCCTTCCTCTTTTTTTTTCTCTTTTTACCCCCTGGTTTTCCTTGTGAGAACCAGCCCGTTGCTTAGCAGCAAATGGGCGGGGTCATTTCACAGAGTCAAGCTAGAGTCAAGCTCACGGGGTCTTCATTTCCCTGTTGCCCCCAATGTGTGTCCGCACCTGGGCGCCAACAGCGCCAGGTTCAGGCGCGCCATTGGTTGCCGCAACCCGTTCTTGAAACTGAACGGGCACAACCCAACGACACCAGGGGAACTTAGTCAGAAGAACTAAAAAACAAAAACAAAAACAAACAAAAAAAAGAGCAAAAGAAAAGAAAGAAGAAAAAACCTACCTGTTCGTGGTCACGTTGCAACCACCGCCAGGTAAGACGTTCCTTCTCTCTCTCTCTCTCTCTCTCTCTCTCTCTCTCTCTCTCTCTCTCTCTCTCTCACACACACACACACACACACACACACACACACACACANCTCTCTCTCTCTCTCTCTCTCTCTCTCTCTCTCACACACACACACACACACACACACACACACACACACACACACACACACACACACACACAGACTCTGCGGCGGTGTATGGACCCACGAACGAGGGTGGATCCATCCGCATTCGACCAGGCTGTCGAGGTTCAGCCTCCTGACGAGTCGGTGGAAATCCGATGAAACAGTCTGGCTCGGTCATGCTCCCGAATTGCCCGTTCGTTTAAACGAACGGGCGCTCACTGTAAAACAAAAACAAAAACAAAAAGAAAAAATCTAAATAAAATCTAAGACGAAAATCTAGAAGAACAAATCTAAAGAAAATCTGAAAAAAAAAGAAAAGAGAAAAAAGGAACGTACCTTGTTATATAAAAAACGGTCGCCCGTTTTCCCGGGCGACTGTCAGGTGCACTGGGGGTTTCAGCACCCCAGTCACTTCATTCAA